TGCCTGGAGCTTTGGGCACTAAATAGCTTTAAATTTGGATGAACTGCCCTCAGCAGCTACCTGTCTTTCTCTAGTAACTGAAGGAGGAGGTTACAGCAATCAAGTTGCTATAATAGATGCCTTGGTTAAGGGTCTAAGTAAGATGGGATGCATGCAATGACTTGCATACAGCCAAATAAGCACATGCAGCAGAGCAGAATTTGAGAATTCCCAATTCCCATTCCTGCACTGAGGAACAATTATTTACTTCTTGAATATTCCAGTGGTTTCTGGAGCTACAAATAAGCTCGCACTTACAAACATATGGGAAGAAGACTCAAACAATGGTTGTCATCAGTACTGTGACAAAGGTTTGAACTCTCATCGATCCAGAAAATGGCAAAGCTCAACTTGTTATTGGCTTATTGCAAGTTCTTTCTGTAGCTATTGCCTTGAGGAGAGGAAACTAAATGCAAATCTGTTGAGAATGAGTAAATCTTTCAAGACGCTGCTCCAGAGTTACTTGAGAAACGCATGATCAGCTTATGCCCTGGTGTTATTTCCCAGGTGCCTGTTGAAATGCACGGGGAAGGCAAACCAAGGAAGACAGGATGAATAAATAAGATAACTACATTAGAGGAACCAGAAAAGAAGAAATGGAGTGTGGCTAACTGTGGAAAATAAACACAAGGAAAAGAAATCAGAAAGCAATAATCAAGCACACATTCCCTGACAGAGAAGGATTAGTTTATCACGTTGAAGTAAAGTATGGATATGAAAAATGAATCATACAGGTATAACTTATTCATGCATGAAGATGTTTCAGTCATTAAGATATTTACACCGTGACTGAAGCGCTTACACACTATGTTGATCTATTGGCTATGTAATTACATAAGATATACTGATGAACGTTTGCGTGAAAAATGCTCTAGATTTTTGATTTTGTTAATCATTTGTCTCACTTGTGAGCACTGCATCTCAATCAGTACAAGAGGCTTGATTAAAACCTCCCAGAGGAAGAAGCATTGCTTTCTGCATGTTAATACATTTCTTCAGCTAGATAGTGGCATACCTTTTTTATTTGACAGCTTAAATCACTGGCCACAAGGGGTTTTATTCTGAATATACTTTTATGATGTGTAAATACACTATATGATATATAAAAAGCTTGGGATACAAAAACCTGTCACCACCTTCCCTCACCTGAAAAGATAATCACAAATTATTTTGAAAGTTGAAAAAAAGTACTTTTTAGCCTGATAAGGTTATCATGTTACCCGTGTTTCTTTATGTCCTTGTAAATGTATGTATCTGCAATCCTTACCTATCTTCACGGCTGGTCGAATCCAGTTCAACAACTGGTGAGTGGTGAAGGACAGAAAACCTCTTCAGGATTCCCCCAGTGGGGAAGCCAGAAGGTGAGCTGCTTTTATTAGGCAGCAGAGGATCTACATGTGAAACAGTACCTATAAATGCCCTAAAAAGGGAAAAATTTCAGTCATAGCCTGCAATCCATAATGACACTAAATTCACGGGAAGCCAAACTTTATTAGTTTATGATGCTTTTTTTTTTTTTCTTCTTCCCAAAGCCTTCTTAACACTGGGAAGTGCTGCTGTGAGTTTGTTTCTGTAGGAACACTGAGCTCTGTCGCTACTATTTGTGCTCTGCAGCTTCTCACTTCTCTAACTAGAAGGTTTTGGGTGCGTTCTTATTTTTCTCGGAAGTCATGGCAACACAAGGTACAAATAATTTTTCTGAGCAGCTAAAAAGAGCCCAGACAAAGAGGAAGGATGTCAAAATGGATTTTGACCTTAAAGAGATAGCTGAACCAACTGAAACACACGGCTCCACAAGACTGCTATTGATCTTGCCTGGATGTTGCTGTATCTTCTAGCAATGATGCGACTGACAAACAAGTGGATACCTTATCATGTCACACCAATTTTCCTCTCACCAAGCTTCTTCCCCATTAGGCGCCCACAGACTAACAATTTTTCCACCTTAAAAACGTATATAGCAGGTCATGTAGCCTTCTCTGTTGTTGTTGTGATTCTCTGACTGAAAGCAGTAAAAAACACCATAGCAAGCCTGTGCTGATTCAAATCAATAAAAAAATGCGTAGCTCCTCAAAACCTTGCAGTTCTCCCAATGCAAAGTTTTAATGCTTTTGCAGCAATGCATTCACAGATCTAAATGTGTCTCACTCCTGTCAAACTAGAAGCCAGTATTTCGGAGAAGTATTTTTTTCCTGGTCAAAACCTGTGCTCTTCCGCTCCTCACAGCTTTCTTCTCTTCATACACAATCTTTGTAGCCCACAGATAGAGAGTCGAGCAATATCTCTGTCAGGTAAGAGCTTTCTTTTGTCCGGTTCTTACCAGTACATCTGATTCTTTATCTTCTCTCTTTCTCTGTAACCCAAATTTTTACCAGTACCTGTGCGCCTCATGCTCAGACTAGCATAAAGTTAATTAGAGCAATGGGCCCCCCATTTTGAGAGCATTAAGCCTCATTAAACTCAAGTCGTATGACACCCGGATATCTTCCTGTAACGCTCCTGAAAGAAAAACCACCTTCTACCCTTAAATCACAATTTCCACTACCACTATCCAGAGATTGGACCAGTAGCTGGGTGGATCACAGAGGTATGTTTTAGTCAAGTTAAGGAAGATTGTTGAGACCTGGAAAAAATCTGAAATCCCTGACACTCGCTCCTTTAAGAGCAAAACTCTGGAACATTTACAGCAAATCAGTTTGAAGAAATCAGTCTGAATCCCCCCATGACTCCTGAATGCCCTACGCTTTATTCTTGCTTCTTATCCTCTACTCCCTCTTTTTTAATTCACAAAAATCAACTATGCTTTTCCAGGGCCCTCTCAGCAATCATACATGCTACTGCTCTGATGTATATGGGACAGTCATTGATTCTTCCCTCTTGAGGTCCTCTTAGAAGGACCTTCACAAGTCCTTGAATGCAGAAATGCATGGCCATTTCCTTGAACCTGCTTTCGTTAACCAAAGTACCACAGTATGTAGGGGTGTGTGCGTATTTACGTATGTGAGCTGGTGCGAGTTACAGAAAGGGCTGAATGCAAAGCACTCTACTGCAGTTAGTTCTTACCCTGGAAAGGTTGAGACAACCAACGTGCCACTGTCAGCACTCAGTGCACAAGTGGAAGGTAGACAGAAACTGCAGCAGTGAGTCTGATGTGTAAGGCACAGACGGGATGACAGCACTCAGCTTCTGCTGCCAGACCTGGG